TTATGTGTATAATGATTTTGATAAACAATCATAATTCTCTGTACTATCTACTAAACATTTAACGAATGAACTTCCTTGTGTTGTGGTCATATTAGACTGTTATATTTTTAAAGAAGACCATTCAGCAACCAACATAAAACAAAATTTCCACGTCGGTACATGCATAAAACGTACAATTTCCTGAAATTTGGATATAGAGCGAACTTCCTTATGATTTAGGCCTAAGGAAATATAAATGTGGGTCTGAACTTTGTAGGTGACAAAGTGTTCTTCCTTATGTTGTTTTCATATTAGAATATAATATCATTAAAGACCATTCAACAAACAACATGAAACATATATCAAACTTTTAGGTTAAAATTTCCGCTTCTGAGCATGCATATAACGTAATTTGTTAGTATGATATTTTCATGACAGTCGAGAATGTACTGATTATATAACTTATAGATTATTGTTGTCCGATTGTGTGCATTGAAAATGTGATGACGAACTCGGGATACGGGCCTCGGTTGACACTCATATCAAAGAGCCTCTTAATTAACCTTGCACAGGAGCCTGTCGTCACCTGCTACGATGCCTTCTCCTCCTTATCATTATCACATCATCATCATCATCATCATCATCTTCATCGCAATTATTAATTGTCCATGCTAAAATGGGGGAATCTATTAATTCAGTGTGTATTCATTTATCAATAGAAGTCTCGTAATGCAAGTAAGTGCATTTCTCAGCATCTAGAAAAAAACAAAACTCTGCGAAGCTAGGAGAACCCCAAGACTACTGCAAACCACCACCCCCACACCTCCCTACGTCCAAAATAATCCTCCAGCGACGGAACAAGCAATCATTACGTTTTCTTCCCATGACTCCGCCCACTCAGGGAACCCATTATGTGCGAGAGTCAGGGTAAAGCTCGGTTTCCATATAATCGCTCACCCTATCGGCGACAGTCGCCGACAGTTGTCGGGAAGGTTGAACCATGGAGGAAAGAAAACTTTTCCGAATGCGTTGCAGGCGCAGACGAATCAGGGTGCATTGCTAGCTGCCCTGCGCAATCGGAAAGGCACCCCGATTCGTCTGTGAACCACAACTGACACGACTGTCGGCGATATGGTGAGCGATTCTTGGAATCCGAGCTAAAACTCTGGATCTGGAGGTCCCTATTCTCAAAATTGTCTATTCCCTCAGCCCCAACCATGGTGGGGGAAGTGAGGTGGACCCTCACGCACCCCCTACCGCCAAATCCTGCATCCGCCCCAGGGGTGTCTAAGAGAGGAGAAGCATACGAGGGAGCATAACTGCCGTCGGGAGGAAGTCAATAATTTTGTCGTGAAACACTGCTTTGAAAAAGCATTTTTCACCGTCCAAGAGTGCCATTTCCGAGCGTCTAGATGGGCCTATTCTTAAAGTGTGCTCCAAGGGCCACTGATCCTTAGGGGCCCCTTCGGTTCCCCTACCCATATTGTCCAGTAGGGTCCTCGCTCTATAGCACCCTGATCCAAAAGGGCTTTGCTGATACAAAACAGCATAATGTGTCACTGACATCGACTGTAGGACATATAGCATATTAATCCAGCGGGGTGGGTTGCCCAGTCGGCCAGGACCCCTGCATTTGTAAACATTTTTTTTTTTTTAATGGAGATTAAGTAATCAAATTTTAAGTCTGAATGAGTGTCATTTCCGGGTCGCTCTAGAGGTACCAAAATCATAATTTGCTTTGCGACTCCCAGTATAGAACAGACTATAGGTCCTTGATTAGACCTTTGCGATGACCGTGAGGGAAGAGGGAGAGGGGGAGCATAGATCTCGTCGAGAGGGAAACAATGGCTGGATCTCAGTAGAGATACAAAAATGATAAGCAACAGCTAAAAAGTAAACGTAAGTAAACAGCCAGAAATAGAACCATATATATAACTATATATATATGTATATGTATATTATATATATATATATATATTTATATATATATGTACCGCTATAAAACACTGGAAGAAAATCATCATTTTATCATGTACTCTTTCACAGGGGGGTGGGGGTTAGCAAAAAGAGTATGTTTTGTACTCTCGTGAAAATGATGAAAATAATGGATGACCCCTTACTTTTGTCAGCAAAGACGCACTCAACTGCAAATGTTATGAAAGACTTCACTTAACTGGCATTTAATACCTATGTAATAGTTTATCACGAGAAACCCACTCAACTGCATAGTGCTGCATATTGTTTATCCATGGACCTATGGTTTATCATTGAGAAAGACGATTGTCTAATGTATATAACATTACATTCACAATGTAATCATTATAAACAATATCTTCACTGGTGCACAATATTGGTATTAAGGAAACATTATCTCATACTTTTTTTGCATTAGTCATACTTGCAAAATATGGATATCGATCTTTTTTCTGGCAGGGGACCATTATGGAACCAGCTCCCAATATGTATTAAGGAGGCAAGTTCTGGACGTTTTTTAAGGACCACCTTAAAGAGCATCTTTTTTTATTTAACTTGTACTTTTTTATTTAATACATTTAGTGTCATCGCTCTGATAGATTATTATAGGGCACTTATTAACTTAATTATTATTATCCTATTTTTGTTATTTATTTATATATTATTATTATTAAAATTATTCATTATTATTATTATTATTATTATTATTATTATATTTATTGCGTACAGTTCAACATACAGTATATTGTTCTTCTGCTTGATATTGAACTTTATGTAAAAGACAAAATAGGATGAATTTCTGAAAAAGGAAACTATAGAAAACAATTTTTAAAAATGATAAAAGACGATTAAACAGAAAATTCCTTGAAGACTACAAAAAAAAACAAAAAGAGCATTGTCCGAAAATAATGACAGAAATACACACAAATACAATTGCAAATCAATTTAATTTAATTTTCATTTAAAATATAGGCCTAATTAAATTTAATTATCTACAATCTTCAAAATATTTGTAAGTCTAACAATCATAGGCCTAGATTTGACAATCACAAACAGGGTGCTATATTGAGTATGCGTGCTTCTGTATTCTATTCTATGCTTCTGCCATCATAGTAAAAAAAATAGGCCTAACCCTATTCACATATTACATATTAAATAGAGTAATTAAAAATACAAGTTCTACACAA